AAAATGTAAGGTGTATTGAACTTATTCCTCATTTTAAAATCCAGAATAATAATATTATTCTTAAAGAAGGTGTGTGTGTGTGCGCGCGCGCGCGCGTGTGTGTGTGTGTCTGTGTGTATTTCATGATGCCAGGAAGAAGTAAAATTTTTTTCCTTTTGGAAATAAACAACACTTGGAAGAGTCCAGATTGAGAAAAATAATTAAGGAGTGTTTCTGACAGCTTTATGGAAGCTTAATCTCATGACAACTCTGAAATACATCAATGCAAATTATGCATCATCTTATCATTTAAGAAAGGGACAAACTGTAGGAATGTGACTCATATCTTTGTCATTAATCTCAGGATAAAAAATTAAGGGAAGATAGAAAAATGTATAAAACTAAAGAATTATTTCAAATCAGCACAGAATCTTACTATCAATTCAAAACAAGGAAACCTAATGAGAGTCACAGTATAGTCATGTCACTCATTTTCCTAAAAATAAGCAGAAATCAAACAGTATTTAATACTAACATATCTTTACTAACAACCTTGCATGTTAAATCATCAGAATTTTATCTTTAGCAAGCTTAAGATTATTAAATTAGTCCAATGTAAACCCTTAAAATGCCTTTTTAAGGCTTTATGTTTCTGAAAAAGAAAATTTACAACAATATTTAAACATTGTTGAATTAAACCAAAATAGTATATTATTTAGTACATTTAAATTCAATGAGTTTTTAATTATGTTCCTAGTATATAAGTGGAAAATCCTGAAGAGCCTATTGAACATAGTGTCACATTTTCAATGTATTTAAATTAACTAAACAACTCTGCTTTACATACCAACCTACTTTTACAAGTACTACTCAGCTTGTATATTTAGAGTTGACAAGTAAATCAGACACACACAGAACTAATATTTAACTTTAAAAAGAACGACTTTTTCATTATTACTAACGAAATCATAATATCTACTCTATGATTGCTGCAACTTTGAAATCCATCATCTTTTAAACAATTGAATAGAATGATTTTAGACAGAAAAGGAGAGCAAGATAAACACATCATTAAAAAGAAAATATTAATCAATTGGTCCTTTCTATCAAAGTCTTCAGAATTAGAAATATCCTATAAAATTATTGTATTATTTCATCAAAATGGCAATACATGAGTACTTGATCTGTTTTATTACGTAATTCCTACTACCATCTGAAATTTAAAAGGATCATTTCAGAAACTGAGTATTTGTGGATTTTATTGTATAGGGATCACCTCTGTAAAAGATTGATTCTTTTACAGGATTTCTAATATAGCCGAATTAAACCAATAATGGTAATGTGTAAAATATTTTTATATTTTAGAAAATTTGGGGATAGACTAATTTAGTATTTTTATTATTACTTTTGGTCTAATTTAACATATATTATCCTCTAATCCAAAATATCTCTATCTATTAACTATTGGGAACATATAAGAAATAGACTGCTTTAAGTTTGTCTCAAATGTTTTGCAAAGGACATCCAATTTAACAAATATGTCTGTTTGCAAAGATAGCTGTTTTGGTATCTACCTGAAATACGATTGTAAGACATTTTAATTTTTAAAAATTGTCCAGTTGAATTTTTTTAATTTATTTTTTAAGATATTCATTTTGTCAACCTCCGTACTTTGGATTGATCACAACAAAGAAATGTATACTTTTAATTACATTTTGAAATTTGACTACAAGGGCTATTATATATTATGCTCTTATTTTTTGTTATTAAAATAGGTTATAAGTTTATATTATTTTGTTTTTCATATAATTTCAGCTTAATAGTCATCAAAGTGTGATTTTCCAACAATGTGAATAGTTAGTAATGGAAACCAATATTTTAATTTAATCTTACACAAATATTGTTGAAAATAAAATTAAAATATAAGGCAAAATTATTTTTCCCCTCCAGGAACTTGGGATTTATGTCAAAAATGATAAATCTGAGTTAATCAGGTTTTGACTTGAGTATATAAACTCTGTACATTAGAATAGTTTGATTGCCCAAAGTATTCTTAGATCAATAATTGAATTTTGAGGCAGAAGAACTAGCATTAAATTATCTGTCCACTAGATGACCAACAAACTTTATTCTTTAATCTGTCTTTTTTGTGTGCATGTCCATGCCACGAAATAAATAACCATATCCTATTTAATGACCCTTATTCACAGACAGACCAGACCCTGCAGTTTTACAAGGAGCCACTATAGGAAAATCACCATTAAAATAAACCTAACCAGCCAAACATTATGTCATTATATTTATTCCAATGTGACAAATTTAAAAATCCAGTCTGTATCATGGTGAGGAAGAAATTCCATGTTAATTCTCCAGAATATTAGGTTTAAGACCTATTTTTACCCTTTTGTACCCAAAGGCATAGAGCTTGATAAATGAGGTTGCCTTATACTTACTGCTTACGTTTCACCTTTAATTAGACTGGAAAATCACGCTTGTGTATGCTCTAGGTCAGTTCATTCAACAAACACCAATCACCTGACCCACACTCTTTATTGATTTTCCCAAATTCTGCTTAGATTGGCCTTAAGGATACTCAGCATACTCATTTGTCAAAATAATTTCCCTTTTCTTTGCTAGAAAATGTTTAAAAAATGTTTTCTTCTTATTTATGATTGTTTAAAAAATATTTTTAAATACCTACACAAAATAAATTATATGTGATTATAAAAAAATATTAGACTACTAACATTATGTTAAACTTGGATTTAAAATAAACTAAGTTTACCTGTGTTAATTTTAACAATCCTAACATCTTAAAACATAGTATACTATTCTTTAAAGTAAAAGATTCTAAAACTTTTAGACTACTATTCTAAAAATATTTCATACTTTTCTTTTTTATTATGTATTGCAGCCTCCTATCAATTTCTCATGTTTACAAGTACTTTACTAGTAACATTTTATTTCATACATGTTTTTATTACATAAATAAAAAATACTAGTTAAAATTATTCCAAATTAAGTTAACAAACAATATGGAAGAAGAAAGAATTAGTACTATATAGCTTACATAGCTGGAAGTCATCACGCAAATTTTAGAATATTTAAGATCTTAATTTGTAAAAACACACACAAAAAAACTAAAATGCCTGTCCCTTTTAGGAAAACCTTTCAAAGTTTAATAACAATTGATGTTTTTTAAAAGTAATTTACTGTTGACAAAGTATCTTCACGTATCATGGATTATTTTTAAAGAAAATGATGCTTGTATTGACAGAATCTAAGGAGACACATGAAAGAAATATTTAAATAAACTAATAATATTCATGTATTAAGGAAAATGCTTTCCCTAGAACAACTTGAAATGTTGACATCCCTTTTAAAACTTGAAACATAAAATAACTTATATAATTTACAAAAATAAATATCCACAAACTTAGTTCTAATTTATGTGCATTTCTGCTTAAAAATAACTCCCCTTTGCTTCAATGTAATATTAATCACTAAATACATCAAATTGTTTTTTATTAAGTAGCAACTCATAGAAACAGTAACTTTCCTGCAAATAATATAATTATCATAGTTTACAAAGCTGCCAAATGCTTTACCCTTCTCATGAAACTTTTTACTTCTAAAAAGAAGTAATAGTTAAGGTGACACCAAAAATTAAGATCAAGTAATCATGTTACCTATTAGATGAATCAACAGAAAATAAATATGAATTAAAATATTTAGATGAAATAGATGCCCTCCAAACATTTAAAAACTCTTTGTTTTCAATTTCACTTGTTTCTTTGCTTGGTACACTTTTTTGTACTAAGAAAATTTTTAAAATTAAAATATACCCAACTTGATATAATAAAAATACTCTGTAGTTCGGATTAAACATTTTATTACTGCTGTAAAAACATGCACAATTTTATGTAGCAACTATTCATATATGTCTTACATAATCTATAACCATTATCTTAATATATAAATTTAGAGCAGTGGTAAATTAGCATACCCCACTGAGGAGGTATTTGAAACATGGACTTCCTTCAAGAATGAAAAGGCAATACAAATGCTATTGACTGATCATCTCTTAAAGTGTTTTAAATTAATACACTGTTGATTGTACTTTTTTACATTAAGTTATACAGTATCTTGGTAGGGAATACTGTACAACTGTTTCCTTATAGCATTAGGTGAGGTCACCCGTTTAGTTTCATTGTATGGGATAATAGATCTAGCTGGGTTGGTTTGTGAATTCAGGTGGATCAGAGACTAACGTGATTTGGCACCAAGGTAAAGATTCATGGAGTTACATCCACAGGATATATGCATTACGTGATAGTAAGAGACATTTACAACCCATAATATAAGAGCAGGGCAGCCTCAAGTGACATCACCAGATCATCTGCAGCGTCAACCAACCGACTCAAATATATATCCTCCACCCCACCACTCCTCTCTCTTTCTCACTATTAGCAAGCCTTACATTGCCTTCACCAGTGTAAAAGAGCATGAGTCTTCTTTTAAAGCAAGACCTATGCTTACTCAAGTGAAAAGCAAATGAGAAAAATTAAAGAAACAGAATCAAAAACTAGATTGAGTACAATTTTCACTAAATTGACATTCAGATGATGGGAATAACACTGAAACGTTAAAGGAGAATTTAAACTGAATTATCCAGACAAGAAATGAAGAAAAGAGAAAGGGAGGAAAGGAGGGAGGGAGAGAGGGAGAGACAGAAAGGAAGAAAGAGAAAGAAACAAAGTAAGAAGGAAAGAAAAAGAAAGAAAAGAGTGAGAGAGAAAGAGAAAGAAAGAAGGAAAGAAAGAAGAGAGAGAAAAAGAGAAAGAAAGAAAGAGCCAACTGAATATTCCTGAGACTAAATCCTGTTTTTAACTTTGACTTGCTCTGGAACCAGGCAACTGTGAGAATCTTTAATTTCTTTCTAAAAGATGTAGTGATAATAAAGAGGAAAGGGACTCATTTTGACTACCTTCTAATTTATCCATAACTTATGTTTTACTTACAGGCATTTGTTACAGCAAAACTGTTGGCTGTCTCAATGTTGTCCACATGAGGTACCAAATTAAAAGGAGCTTCCGACGCATTGGGGCTGGTGTTATGAAGAAAAATTGCTAGTCGGAAAGCAGTGTATTCCTGATCTGTGTTTCGGATGAAGAGACCACCTATTAAAAACGGCAGGAAAAGCACATTCAACATTTCCTCTTGTAAATGATATACCCACCCCAAGCACTGTCAAACCCACTGCCATTCACAAGCACATACAATTAAGGAGCTAAACCTGCCTCATCTTGGGAAACTGCCCTTTGTCCCTCAGGTGCATACTTAGAGCAGCTCAGCTTTTTCTTGTCCCAATCTGTCATGATCACAGTGACCTCTGAGACCGTTTAGTGTATTTTCCTTTCTCTCCCTTGCCCTCGCTGTGATTCCCAGCACACTGCTACACCAGCCAGCTCAGGGCATCTCTCTCTAAGAGGAATGCAGGTGACCGGCAAAGAGATTTACATTAAAATACAGGAATGAAGGGACGTGGGGACACGTAGGGAAGAGAGAAATCAGAAAGGAGAAATGAACTTTGTTTTTCTGCAGCTCGTGGACTCAGCCTAATTAGCTCCGTTTTGTGCACAGTCCACGAGAGAAATGATGCAGTGTTGAGGCTGGGCTTAGCTGGAAGAAATTCAATAGCTGCGTCCCATTAAAAGACAGGAGAGGAGAATAGCAAGAAAAGCAAAGGATGGAGGGGGTCCCTGGACGTAGAGTCGAGGCGGAGAAATAAGGGCGAAAGCTTCAAGAAGAAAACAAAATAAAAGGAGAAAAGGTTCCTGGAAAGGGATCTAACTTTAGAATCTGCTAACCGGTAGCAGATAAGGCGAGGGGTGCGGTGGAAATGCTTTTTTGCCCAAACGCTGTCTCTCTGTAACAGCAAGAAAGCTGCGACGTCCAATATGGGAAGAAGTGGATTTTGTTTTTTTAAACAAACTCGACATCCCTTCATACTCTAGAACAAGGGATGGAAAGAAATATCATATAAAATACAATCAAACCCCACGAAGGCTTCCCCCCCCAACTTATTCCAATCCTACTTAAGCGACTACAGCCAAAGGGGAAATGGGGTATGGGCTGAGGAAGGATGGGTGGGCTGCCCTGGGTATAGTCGAGAGGAACCTGCACCAAAGAGGAAGTCTTTTTGTAAAGAAGAGAAAGGAAGAAGAGGGAAGTAGAGGGGAAGGGAGCCGCCAAAGATTTCTCTGAATTGCTTATACGGAACTCATTTAACTCACTTTCGGATATCTGCCACAGCCAGCCACATGCACACCCCACTGGAGCAGAGCTTACCTATTTGCACGCTGCTCGGAAAGGCTCCCATGGCGAGTCCCCAAAATCCAGAAAATAACAAGACAATCTGTCTGCAAATAATCCTCATCTTCTTTTCTCCTCTCCCTGGCGCGCGCTCTCTCTTTCTCTCACACTCTTCCTAAAGGCTCTTCAGACAGGCATTGAAGACGATGGCGCTAAAATTAAAAAAGCAACCAAAAAAAGAAAAAGAAGAAAAAAGAAAGAAAGAAGGAAAAAAAAAAAAAGGAGAGAGGTTTGGGTGGTTTAAGACTATGACTAGTTCCCTTCAGCAATCCATCGCGAGCTGCCAGATTTTTCCCGCAGTCTCCATAGCCCTGGGAGAGGCTTTCTGTCCGGCTGCAAATGTTGCACATGCAAAAGATGGTGGTGGAGCGTCTAGTGGCTGCTCGCGGGGATGAGACATGCGCTCTATCTTTGCCTCACTCGCACTGGCGCTCGCCCCTCGCTCCCTCACACACACACAAACACTGGCGCCGCGGCCGCCGCACGCGCTCCCGGCTCGCACCCGCCGGCATGCCCCCAAGCCTGCGCCAGCCGAGCCCCGCCGCCCTCCCCGGCGCGCGCTCCCTCCGCGCGCCCCTCGCCCACCGCCCGGCCGGGTTCCCCCCTCGGGTGCTCACCGGGGCGCCCCGGTCTCCCCGACGCTCCGGAGCCAGTCTGGAGACAGGTTTTTTTTTTTTTTCCTTCTCCTCACCCCTCGTTGCTGACTCCCTCCTCTCCTCTACCTCGGTTCGCAGAGGGACCGACTCAGGGGATGGGCACCCCCAAGCGTGCCCTTCTCTTGGCTTTCCAGTCACCTCTGCTTCTTGGCTGCACTTGGCAGGAAACCCGGCCCGCGGGCTAGGTCCGCAAGCCGGGATGATGGGGGGCTCTGGGGTCAGTACCTCCCCATGCCCCCGCGCCCCTGCCGCATCCCTGCGGGCTCTCGGGGAGGACGGGCTGCCTCCCTCCCCTGCCGTCCTCGCTTCCCTCTCAGCCTAGCCCTCTTCTGCCGCTGGGCTGCGCGCAGGGGACTCCGGTCCTCGCTGCAGCAAAGATTTCTCACCAGCAAACAGCCCGGGAATCTGGAGAGCCTGACGCGGGAATGGATGAGGTGAAGGGGCTCGGCGAGGGACGAGGGACGGGAGGAGAAGAGAGGAGCAAGGCGCAGCCCCCCACCCCCACCCCGGGCGGGTGCTTTCCTCCCAGTACCAGAAAGAAAGAACTGGAAGAGGTAAAGGTGTTGTGGAAGAGAGCCAGAGAAGTTGAAACACCCTAGGAAGAGGGGGAGGGGGGGAAAGGTTATTTTAAATACCGGACAAAGTTTAGGGTACTGGACAGGATAGGGAAGACTGAGAAGTGAAAACTGAACGGGGCCTCCAATATGTTCTTTGAAGGCATGAGGCAGAGCTAGGAATAAGAAATGTGTGAAGTGTAAAGCAGGAAGAGTGACGGAAGACTCGACTCCTTTCTTTTCAGTCGCCCATTCCGGAGGACCGTTTTCCTCTGTGCTGTGGCCATTTCAGGAACAGGAGGGACAGGGTGCAAGGGCTGGTGACGGAAGGCCAGAGGGGCAGTGCTTGGGGCAGTGGGCACAGGTGTCTGACAGAAAAATGGAATGTTTTTCATGCACCTCTCTTCCTCGGCTGGGACTCTAGAATGTTCACTCTACTCCGCGCCACCTCCAGGAAGACTTAAGTATTTCATTGATGATGTCAATAGCTGTTCTGACTGGGTGGAAGTAATGAAAATGGATTATCCTAGAAAGTTTTAGGGTGACAGTCTCCCTTCCTCTCCAGAGTCACCTTTGAGACTGTCCTTTCATCTGGCTGTCATGGATGGAGCCTGTGCCACACTCAGAGGCAGTCAGTGGTGGTAGCAGTGAGTGACAGATTTCTGATTTCCTCTGTATGGTTTGAGATCTCCCAATCTAGATAGTAAATACAGTCTCCTGATTCCAATAAACCGTGGGAAAGAGAGTCATTAGAAGGAGAGGGTCTCCTTAAAGGTGAGGAATTCCAGAGTAGTGTCTCCCATTAAGTTTAAAAAAAGAATACAGCAAATGCTTATGTTTGCCTGCTGTAATGTTTGGGTAAAGGGAAAAATAGAATGCTTAATGTGGATTTCTCACAAGGGCTCCACTTGGTAAAGACTTTTTTGAAATATGTATTCCCTTTACTCCTTCAAGCCTTCCTTTATTAGGTGTCACCAATGACCTGTATTACTAGTTTGTAGATGACATTTAAAAATCCCTGTTAAAACTTCAGAGTGCTTTTCTATTTCCTAAGTTTTGAATTTTACTTTTTAAAAGCACATTTTTTGTTATGTATCTACTTTCCTGTTACATTTCACCACAGATTGTTGTGACAAAAACAGCATAACTGTAATTGTATTACACAAATCATACATTTGTCATGTTAGTTTATGAGGTTTTAGTCTTGCAAGTCGAGTGGGATTTGAAATGTTTTCCTTCTTGTCTTTTCAGTCTGTGTGAAAACCAGGGCTGTAAATAATAGCATTCTGTTTTCTCTTGTAAGAAGATGATAAAATAGGACTCATAAAATCCAACTTAAATTAAAATTTCAAAATCCACCAAACCATTAAACTTATCACTTACTTGGGTAACTAGTGGAGCTCTGCCTGATAGACAGAAGCAATTATTAACTTTTATTCTTCTTAAAATGGAAAGATTTGAGCTTTCATGTGATGTCTTTGCACCATTGATGCAGGACAAGTTTTATTTTTCATCTGACCACTGTGATGACAACTGGACTAATATGACCATAGAAGACACAACTGTATTTTCCTAAAATAGTAAGCTGGTTTTTTGAATTTCTATATTTCCAATTAATTAAGACCTCCATTTTACTCTGTGAATTCTCTTTCCAAATATAATATGCATATATAAAAATATCAAGTAGATATAGTTTCTCTGTATAATATATAAAAATATGTATGTGTATATATGTGTATATTTATGTATATCTCAAATAGTCATATATTGAAAACACCTGCCATGTGTGTTTACTGTCCAATTGTTTCAGATATAAAGGTGAACAAGACAAAATCCCTGCTATTCTTGGAAGATTTCTAATGTTTATTAATGCTCACTAATGTGCCAGGTGTGTGCTAAGGCCTCGATTGTATCGCCTGATCTATAGAAAACTTTAAGTATGAATATATTTGTTAGAAAATTCATCTAAAGGTTAAAATTCTTTCTCAAGGTTATATTCTTAGTACACTATAAAGCCAAGAGCCAGGGATGGAACTCAGGTTATCTGATTTCAGGGACTGGGCTATCTTTATCAAAACATGCTGAGTTAATAAGTTTAAGGTACAAAGAGGGATTGGGAGCTGAAAAGTAAACTGGAAGAATCCACAGCATTCAGAAAGGTTGTGTGGTCTACTTAAAACACCTCAGGCTTTCAGACTGGGTGTGGTGGCTCATGGCTGTAATCCTAGCACTCCGGGAGGCTGAGGCAGATGGATTATTTGAGCTCAGGAGTTCCAGACCAGCCTGAGCAAGAGCGAGACCCTATCTCTACTAAAAAAATAGAAAGAAATTAGCTGGACAACTAAAAATATGTAGAAAAATAAGTTGGGCATGGTGGCACATGCCTGTAGTCCCAGCTACTTGGGAGGCTGAGGCAGGAGGATTGCTTGAGCCCAGGAGTTTGAGGTTGCTGTGAGCTAGGCTGCCGCCATGGCACTTACTCTAGCCAGGGCAACAGAGTAAGACTCTGTCTCAAACCTCAGGCTTTCAGAGTGATAATTAATAACTGCATATGGATTATAGGCCCCCAGCTTTCTGGCCATACTACCTTGGATACATTACTTAACATTTCTGTTCTGACAAAATACATGTAAACCTAGCATTTCTGTTCTGATAGAATGTATGTAAATTTTCTGGCACATAATAGGCAATTCTTATTAATAAAGAGTTGCCTCCCAAAATGTGACCAAGGCTCCAATAGAGGGAGGTACAGAGCACCATGTGAGCAAAATAGGGTGTGTAAATCTGACTTTTAGAGAATTGAGGAAGAACTCACAGAGAAAGAGACATTGAACTGAATTGTTATAGATTTGTAGAGAGATTATCAGATAGAGAAAAAACTATGAGCAAGACACGAGAGAGCATATGTCTTTCCAGGCACTGCTAAAAGTTTGGTATAACCAGACTGCACGTTGTAAGAGGTGCCGTGCTGGAAGTGAGGCTGGACAGCAAAGCGAGGGATGGTTATGCACTGGTTGCCTCGGCAGTTTCGCCTTCATCTCACAGAGAAAGAGAAACAAAGAAAGGTTATGAGCAAGGGCATAAAATGATCGGATTTGCACTTTAGAGCTGAAATCTTGACATAAGTGTGGCAAATGCTACACAGTGAGGGTGGAGGCAGGGAGAGAAATGTGGAAGCTATAGGAATCGTCTAGGGAAGAAATGGCTATTGAACAAAACAAATAGCAGTAAAACTTGCCATTGGACTCTGAAATCATATTTTTAAGTTTCTAGCTCAAATATACACTGGCAAAATTATAAAATTTGCATACACAAATTTATCACAGCACCCTTTTTCCATAGCAAAACACAAAACAACCTAAATGTCCATTAATGGGGACTATTTTACTAAGCTATGGTGCATTTATATATTGTGTGCTATATCGTTATACAAGGAAAGAGAAGTTTCTTTATATACCACCATGAAGTGTTCTCAAGGATATGTTATTATGTGAGAAAAAGCAATGTGGAGACAAGTGTGTAGTCCACTAGGATTTATCTACAAAGAGGAGTGCTTTTTTTAGGGACAGAGAGAGCAAGATAGAAAGAAGCAAATAAGCTTCCATATCTACTCTGAGTTGCACCATTTCAATTTATTTTGAAACAGATAATTCTGTCTTATCCTCTCTAGCAGGATATCACCTACAGACAAAAATAATTGCAAAAGAAATAAAACACATTGTCTTCCCTAATCATACAGTTGATACTGGTATTGATACTGCTATTATGAGAATGTCATATGTATATTGTTACATAAAGCAAATAAATTCTTATGCTGATATGGTTAGAAAAAGCACTGGAGGAAAATACATGTTTAAGATAAAAAAAGATAAGTGAAAAATCTGTTGTGAGTTTGAATTGGAAGTTGTGAATTTGAATTGGAATTTTCAGTATGAATTAATGATTTATTTTTAAATATCTATTTTCTAGTTTCACAAAGTAAAAAAAGGCTTAGAAATAATGACCAAGCTATTAAATATTAGCACCAGTAGTACATAATTTGTGGTGTCTAATACCATTTCCCACTAAAAGGTATCAGAGCTCCTTAGAGAAATAACTCATTCTAACTCTGAGGAAAGAATTATATAAGATAAACCTGGAATATCTCATCATAACAAAAAGGAAGATATTATAATCACTGAAATCAAGTCAAAAGGTTTCAGGAGCTAACTGGAAGATGTTCCCATTGTCTAAAGGTGGGAAATTCAGACATCAAAAGAAATAATGACTGCAATATATTATAACATCAATGTTAAATCCATGAAATAATAATGATGATTTTACAAAGAGAGAGAGATGCCTCGTTGGTTTCCTTTGTATTATGCTAGGAAAGCAACCCATTATCTATTAAAAAATAAACTTTTCATTTGTAACAATTTTTATTTACATAAGAGTTTCAAAAATACTACAGAGAGTTTCCCTGTACCCCTTGTCTAGTTTAATTTTTCTTTAATGTTATCATCTTACATTACTCTTGTACATTTGTTAAAATTAAGAAACCAACGCTGGTATGTCACTATTAATTAAACTCCAGACTTTATGTTTAGATTTTCCCATTTTGTCCATTAGTATATTTTTCTGTTCCAGGATCTAATTCAGGACACCTCATCATGTTTAGTTTTCATCCTTCCTTGTTCTATTCTGTGACATTTTTATCTTCTTTCCTTTTCATGACTTCCACAATTTCATGAATACTGTTAGGTGATATAGGACACCCATAGTATATGGCTAGGTGTTTTGTAAAATGTCCCTCAATTTGGATTTGTCTGATAATTTTCTTACGATTAGGCTGGAGTTATGAATTTTTAGAAAGAATACCATAAAGGAGAAGTGTCCTTATTATCACATCATGTAAGGAGAGCCATGATATCACTAGACATCACTGGTGATGTTAACCTTCATCAGTTGGTTAAAATGTGATTGCAAGTTTTTTCCACTGTAAAGTAACTGTTTTTCCCATTCCATACTATGTTCCTTGGAAGTGAGTCACTATGTATGGCCCACTGTCAAGGAGAGGAGAGTATCTACATATCTTATTAGAAATTTCTGTAATGAAGTGTTGTCTCTTCTCTCCCATTTTTTATTTAATCATTTATTTATATCAGTATAGACTCATGTATGTTTATTTTACACTCTGAGTTGTAATAAAATACTATATTATTTGCTTTTTTGTTTTTGTTTTTATTTTGCTTAAATTGGTCCACCTTTGGACATTTGGAGCTATTGATACACACCCATCCTTTTGTTTTTGAACACTTTGATGCTTGTTGTCACTACAAGTTTCTCTAGGAACATCTTGTATATTCCTTGTAGTATGAGCAATTTCTCTACAGAGCCCTAATTCTTTTTATTGAAGACTGATGTTTAAAAACAAAGGTATTTTAATGGGTTTGCTAAGTGTTACTAGGTTGTCATTGCTTCCAGATTCTCACATGGGACAGAGATTTTTTGGTATACATACCTATCATTGTTTCTCTGTCTGCCCATCCATATCTGTAGTAAGTGTATGAGTTCATACCGATGTCCCCAACTCAAATTTCTTACCAAGGCATTCATTCTCGTCTCTATTCTTGTTTACCTGTAATTTCCCTCTCAAACATTAAGAAACCTGATTCCCACAATCAAGTAAAATACATTTATTTCATATATCAAACCTAACCTTAAGATCTCTGAAAACAATTGAATTTTTGATACCAAAATTTTGTTTTCAGCCACAGGTGATTACTGAAAACCCATGCCTATTATTGTTAATGATCCACATTTCTGAAAAACATTGAATTACATATACATTAATTTAAATAGATGGCATTGTTTACGATAGTCTGTCCTATAAGAGGTAAGTGTATTATACAGACTGAATAAATTTATTTATGTATTTATTAGCTAGCTGATTGCTTGGAAGGGCCCAGTTTTTTTCAATTGAGCTGATACTTTCTGATTTTCATATATTTTGCTACTGTCACTCTCCAGCAGTAGGAGCAATACCCTAGTGCCTCACAGAGTACATTGCTTTACCTTTTTATCTATCCGTCAATCTTGCTTGAAATCAGCACACTAATCTTGCCCTATAGCAGTTGCTTGATTAATCTTTTGTCATCTATCTACCTCACATGGTCTCTCCATAAAACTGATTGACATTGTGCATGACTTTAATGCTGATAAATTATCTCTTTTCCGGGACCACAAAATCCTCATTATCCAGAAAGATTACTTTTCTTGTTTTATGTTCCTCATTCCTCTTTGGAATCACTGTAATTGAAAGGGGCTAGTGAGTAGAACTTGGCAGTCCTTTCCTCCTTCACTCATTCATTCTAGAACATTTTCTATGGATTATGGTATCACAGGGGAATGGAAAAGTGTTTTATTCATTGTGTACTTTATTCCTAATAATTAAAGAATCCCAAACATAGACACGTGGGGCATAAACACATATCCACAAGTAAATACAAAGAATTATGTTTTAATCCCTGTATTAGTGGTAGAAACTTGATGTGATCTGTTTTAAGACAGAGATCCTGTTTTATTAAACTGGAATCTACTCCTATGCTAGTGCTAGTTCCTCATCTCAACATGTATTCCAGGATAAGAGTGGTCAAGTACAGCATCGTGTGAAAGTTAATATTTGAACTTGATTATAGAACACTATAAGGTTTTAATTAGCTAAGAAATAGAGGAGCATTCCAGATGGGGGGAAGAGGTGATGAGGTATTAGGGGGTTGTTAGGAGAACAATGGGCAACCAAAGACAGGAATCATCATGGAGATTAGTATCCAGTAAGTCTCAGGAGTTTGATTAAAGCCAAACTCTCAAGAGTCTGTCATATAATGGACATTAAAAAAAAATTGGTACATACTGACAAATGACACAAAATGAAGCTTTGTGATATAAATTTTCCTCCTAGCTTGTGAATTGCATTTCTTCTAATAAGTCACAGGTCATTGTATGCTTGACTTGATTCATATTCAGGTTGTTGATGGAGAATTAATTCAATGATTTGGATAATCAAATTCTTCCCAATAATATTTCAGATTTCAAGGAGTAAATGTTAAGTTGAATTTTCTAGTTTAAATCTATATACTTGATATATCCACAAAATACATGTTCAATATTTTAAAATTTAATTTTACTTTGGACAACACAGGAGTGATAATTGTAATTGTCTTTTATTAAGCAACTACTATGATATAAGAATGTAATTTTCAGTCTTAAAACAGTCCTTCAATTTAGGTAGCATTAGCCTTGTTTCACAAATGAGAAAATTAAAGCTCAGAAGGTTTAAGTAACCAGCCTAATGTTACACAGCTACTAATGTTGCAGCAAAATTTAAAATATCTTTCTGGCTTAAAGCCTATGTTTTTTGGACTGTACACTTCTCATATATATTCATGAGAAAAGCCAAGTGTTTGGTTTGTACTGGTTATCTTTGCCATGGCTCTGACCTAAGCTGAAGCTTATACAACATTAAGAAGGAAAAAATACGTGCATTTACATTTTTATAGAAATATTAATAATTACTGGAATTACTAATATTTACCATGGAATTAACACAATGCCATGGAAGCGAAGTTAGATCAATAATATTTATTTCTTTCAAATGGAAATATTTCCTTTGTTGGGAAGGAGAAAATATAAAGAAAGAAAAATAAATGTAGACACTCCAGTTATATAACCATCTTTGTTCTTAAAACAGCTCAAATAATTGATTTATACTAGAGTCATCCCTCCATCCTCAAGTGACCATTATTAATCATATTCATCCCAGCTTGTTGAATTTAGTCCTATACTGAACATTCCCTCTCCCATCTTTCTGATTGTTTCCCCACATCTTCCTTTTTTAGCACCTAAGAAAATTGAGTCTTGTGTATTTAGTCACACCTTATCCTACTGCCTTCCCTTGAAAATATCCTTGGCTGTGACTGAATATATTTTGCATAACATTTTTAACAAAATAACATGGAGCCATAATATCTTCCCTTTCAAGATGGTTCTGCTCACAAACCTCTCTGCATTCCTGACTCCAGACAGTCTTGTACAATGTGCATTTTCCAAGCACACCATGTAGTCCAATGTAGATGCTATAGATACACCATTTATAAAAGTGCTCAACAACTTCCATCTCCAGATATACCGTTGAAATCTGGGTATTAGTTTGATTATTTTATTCTGGAAAAATACAAAAAGTATTGTGTTAATTAAAAACATACTATAAAATTAAATAATTTATGGTATAATTCTGCATATGAAATAACATGCATATCACAGAAAACATTGTTAGTGATTATTTATGAAGAATGTAGGATCATGGTGATTTTTATTTTCTTTTCCACACTTTTATCCCAAACAACACCATTTAAAGTTCATTTTTTTGTTGTTGTTGTTCTGCTCAATGGGGAAAATGTCATCTATACTAAGAGACAAAGTAATTGTGTCTAAATACCTGCTACAAATATATATTTGTGTGTGTGTGTTGTGTGTGTGTATAAAATCTGCGATAGAATATCTTACTGACAGCTACTTACCTAACAGGTCAGCACATTTGGAACACTATCTTTTCCTTAACCTTGCCATTTCTTTTAAGTAATTTGCCTTAGGTAAATAGCAAACCTTTGTGTCATATATATGATTGTCATAGTCCCCTTTCCATTATGAAGAATTACAAATATGCTAAGATTTAAAGAACCTGTTTTTATCAAATTGACCATATTGAAAGCATCTTCATAAAACTGCTCAGAAATGCTGAAAGCAAAGCAGTGATTGAAGGCAAAATTATTAACCCTTTTAGATTGTATACATCCACTGTTTTTGATGAAAAACCCATGCACTATGAATGGACATATGGCCAGCTAACATAAGGACATGGTTCTTACCTCCAAGTGTAAATCCATATTTTAAATCTTCATAAACTACATTTTTCTCATTTTTACAAAGTATTGGCCCAGAGAAGTAGCACTGGTAGAACTACACATGACTGAGGAAGCAGAATTTACAAATAAAGAGAAAGGAAGATTTCTGCTGGTATCTAAGTTGGGTGAATGGGTCAGTGACTCTGTGATGCCATATAGGCCTTGCAAAATGAAACGATAGGAAGTAAAAAAATTAGTTCAATTTATGACATTGATTAATTTGTGGGATACATAATGGACATATCCAGTAGGCAATAGAATATATGGATTCAAGGCTCAACTGAGAGATCTGGACCAGATGTGTAAATCTAGGAGAGGGCAGCCTAACTGTGGTTGCTCACACCCTGGATAGGGCAGGAAACTCAGAGAGGGTGCAGGAGGGGAAGAGCAGAGGACCCAGGACTTACTCTAGAGAAGTAGGGTGACAAAAGAGAGAACTCCATGAAAGATGAAGAGAAGTCAGACTAATTAAGAGGACAGTCAGGAGAAACTGATGTCAGGGATTTCAAGTGAAACGAGAGTATCCAGAAAAGAAAATGATAACTGTGCCAAATGGTAGAGATCAAACAAACTGTAGCCTGAAAATTGGTCATCGAACATGAAAAACTATTGACAAAGTTCTAAAAGAAGTTTTGGTTTATCAGTGAGTGATAGAAACCAGTTTTAGTGAATTGAGAGGAAATAGGGGATGAAGGCATACAAATCAGTAAAAATGTCTTGCTCCTGTATTTTTTAGCATACCATTCTGCCTTAAAAAAAAAAAAAAGCTTTGTTCTTCCCTTTTTGTGTCTGCTTATCCCCCTCAATCCTTTCTCCTCATATTCACTTTTTCCATGATTCTCCAGCTAAATGCAATTGCCCAAGTTCTGCATCTACATAGCACCCAGGTACAACTAGCTTCATACGTTACTGAAGATATTTCAGTTTATGTTCATCTAACTGGTAAGTAGGGAATCTCCTTTAGAGCTCATGGTGCATCTGGGATAGGTCTTGTCTCAGTGAGACAGGGCCTCTCATATTGTCCAGATCATGGCACGAAGGGTTTAAATTGAAGCAAACTTGAAGGCATCTATATCAGGGTTGGTGAAAGGCTAATCAAGCATTCAATGTATTAAATAATAAGAATAGAATAATTAACTGCAAAGTAGTGAGGAAAATACTGAGTGATGAATCTGTATCAAACTTCAAATAAGTTTTTCCATTTTTCAAAAAGAAACTGAAGCTTTTTTTGAATGTAAGCTTTTGTTTGTTTATTTTCCTTAAATCAGATTTTGCTTTGAATGGCTAAATGGAATTCCTCATAACTTTTTAGTTATAACCTCTTCATATTTTTGTTAGTTCTCATCTATGAGAAACTTTGTTCACAGAAGTCAGTGATAAAAACATAAGCTGTTTAATAATTATTTACCACTTTTCCAGAGTTGAGATTATTAATTTATCTTCTTTAATTGACAACTTTAAATTAAACTTTCTTGTATAATAACAATGGGTGCAAATCTTAGATATGATCAGAGATTTTGTTCATCTTATGTATTAATATTAAAAAATAACAATCCTTCATTTACAGAGCGCACATGAATTGTTGGAAGAGTCGTCTCTTGTGACAGCTAATGTGAAGCTAGTACAAAGCATATCAGCTGCAAATAGAAACATTCAGTATATGTGAAGACAAAATTTGGATGTGGTCACTTGAAGAATCACCTGTCAGGTGCCCAACTCAACTTCCCTGTTCTCTAGTCCCCAGCTGATAGCATCTTGGGCTAAGTGACAAGCTCCATAGGTATCTGGAGCAGGAATTGCTCTGGAAATTCCTCAGTCCCCTTCTGTAACGGATAGTGTTCTGCAGCTGGCTGCTGACATAGACAGCCATGTGGTAGATCACCTTTGTGGTTGTCTTCAGTACCTTGTAGATGAGCAGTGAGTACTCATTGTTCTTCCATGTACTCACTGCCTCCAAGACAGAAGAGAATAACTCCATTTCATCTAGATCCCCTTTGGAGAAGCCAGGGACAGATCTACTTTAATGTAGAGTTGACTGGCCAAATAGTCTCTGGAAGCTCCAGGCGGCACCTGTTCATCCCAAGGATGACTGAGGTCAGTATTTTATGGCACACCTGTAAGCCTCCCACAGTGCACTATTAAGCTGTTGGGAAGCTCTTCTTTATAGCACATAACAAAGTGTTTTATTCATAGAAGAATGAAGGGGATGAAAAGGAAAAAATAGAAGGGGAAGAAAGAGGAGGGAAGTAAATGGAAGAAAAATTCAAGAGGGGTATAAAAGTTTATATAATTATTGAACACCTACAATATTGTTGCTATGTTTTGGGGGAAGATACCAAAATGCATTAAAATACTGTGCCTGTAGACATACAAGTCTGTTTGTAGTACAAGACAGAGTGCAATACACATAGCAAAGGTAAAACTTCAATTCTGTAAAAACACAATTAAAACCAATTAGTCCACATCCACAGAAATTAAATATTAATAATCTCAAATATGTAACAAATACATAATATGAAATAAGTTTTTATACTTGGTGGGTTCTTCATATTTTATACAGTTATAGCAAAGCAATTTGTATATTTTCAAACAGTCAATAATTTTGTTTATGAAAGATAAATAACAAAGAGTAAAGTAATGCCTGAATATAAACATATGATGCATTATTTTATGATTCAGAAAAAGACCTCTTGATCATTTTCACTAATTTGGTTACACTCTAGGTATAACAATATTCTACTTATAACAATATTTGTTTGATCTATGAAACAATTCTAATAGTTGTACTGGTTTTTAAAAGCATGCACAGTTTGAGATTCTTCAATAATTCAGACTCTGAAGTATTCTAAGAAAACTTGCTTTGCATCAGAAGATGCAAAGCATCTCATATTACTAAATGTTAAATTATTTTCATGAAAAGGTAATATTACATTGTGATCTCTGTATGAAAGAGTGTGAACTTTACAGAAAGCTCTTCATGTTTAAATCAGGTAAACTTTAGCCACATATTCCCTTAAACCAAGTTCTAAGGACATGTTGCAGTGACATTATCATTTGTTGGCAAGAGTCCACTGACTTTTGTCATAAAATAATTATATTACCATTATATAAAATCATGTGTTGGATGGTTTCGTAATGACGTATCACAAACAATAATTTGAAATGTTAAGTGACATTTTATGCAGTGATTTTTTTCTTGTTGTTGAATAGACTTTAATAGTTAAAGTCTAATAGTTAAATTCTTCATAATCCTTCATAGTAGCATTTGATAGTCATGAAACTGCCTATGACTATTCGTAAACATTGATGTTGATCTTTAAGATCCTCTATTAAGACAAGCATCAAAAGATAATCAAGAAACATAACAGAGGTACTGTCTTAGTCCATTTGTGTTGCTATAAAGGAATACCTTGGACTAGATAATTTATAAAGAAAATAGGTTTATTTGGCCCAAGGTTCTGCAGACTGTACAAGAAGTATGGCATCAGCACCTGTTTCTGGTGAGGGCTTCAGGCTGCTGTAACTCATGATGAAAGTATAAAGGAAGCTGGTGTCTCCAGTGATCACATGGCAAGAGAGAAACCAAAAGAGGGGGGAGAGAAGTGCAAGACTCTTTTTAAAATATTAATTTTTAAAATTTATTCTATTGCAGATTGTTTTAAACAATCAGCTCTTATGGAAACCAATACACCAAGAACTCACTCATTACTGCAAGGATGGCACCAAGCCATTTTGGAGGGATTCACTTGCATAACCCAAACATCTCCCATTAGACCCCACCTTTCACACTGGGGATCAAATATCAACATGATCAAACCAAACTATAGCAGGTACCCAAATGTTTTCTCCAATTATTTGTTTCACTTATAATTAAATAATAGATTAACTATTGAAATGTGTTACATAATAATAAACAATTGACATTTGATATATTCTAAGCTGGTCTACTTTACTAGTTAAAGGATATATATGCTGATGCAGAAAAATATTTTTGGAACTTAATTGCATTTCTTTCTAAATATGTAACAAATTTAAAATCTTATTTTTTTTGCATTTTTTATAGTACTAAAATCCAGTATTGTTATTTTTTTCATGTATAATGTATTTACGTATGGATGTTAAAATTCTAAATACACTTAAAATACTCATCCACATTCTTATTGTAATTTTTTTTTAGAATTGTTTTAGATTTATAGAAATGTAAATATGGTATATACAATTCCAGTAAACCCCACACCTGGGTTCTCCTATTATGCATTAGTATGGTGGTACATTTGTGTTCTATCTTGGTGAATGTTCCATGTGACCCTGAAAAGATCATATGTTCTGCTATTTGTGGATAGAGTATTTTATAAATATCAATTAAATCAAGTTGAGTGATAGGACTGATCATGTCATCTTTATTATTATTGATTTTCTTCATGATGGGTCTACCAAGTGTAGATAAGGAGGTGATAAAGGCTCTGACTGTAATGGTGGATTTGTCTATTTATCTTTGCCAGTCCATAAATGTTTGCATCAAGTATGTTGATACTTTGTTGTTAGGTGCATACACTTACACAATTTTTGGAGAACCATTCATCATTATGTAATGCCCCTCTTTATCCCTGATAATTTTCCTTGCTCTGAAGTCTGCTTTGTCTGATATTACTATGTTGACCCCTAATTTCTCTTGATCAGTTGTTAACATATCTTTTTCTACCCTTTTACTTTTACTCTATCTCTGTTTTTATGTTTCAAGCGAGTTTTTTTAGACAACATATAGTTAGGCTTTGTTTTGTTTATCCACTCTGACCTCTACCTCTGTCTATAATTGATGTGTTTATATCATTCAGAATAAAATTTATGATAATCTTTTTTACCACCTAGAGTATAGAAACTTTCAACTGAGGCAGTAAACCTAAAAGCTAAAATATAAAAGATAGACATGTCTATGCATATATCAAACATTTTCATTGCAAAAATACTATAAACAAAGTGAGAATACATAAAGGTTTGAGAAAGTGTTTATAATATATGTGTCTCTTAAAAGGTTGGATTATCTATAATATTTAAAAAGTTTCTACAACTGATAATTCTAATAAAGTAATCAGAAAATGGCATGAATAGAAAATTCAGAAAACACTAAACAAAATGGCCCCAAAATATGTAGTTGGATTCTTTACTGTCTGGGGGTTGGGCAAAGAAAAATGAAAGTAACAATGAGATATGACCTTATAGTAAAACATTTACAGTTAGCAGTGTGACAAAAATTAAATGGTACTAACATTTGGTACTAATGGAAATATGACATTCTTACGTATTGATTGTGAAATTAAGTATTGTTATAAGTATTTTCAACAGCAATCTGGCCACATCTATAAAAATTAAAAGCTCATATGTGATATGAGCAGCAATCCAGTTCCCAAAAGGAAAATGTTAGATTATTTATAGAAAGAGAGTGATTATAGCTTTTTTAGTATTAACAAAAAGAAGCAGATTGGTGGAAGGAAGGAAGAAAGGAAAGATGGATGGAAGAAAGGGGAGAGAGAAAGGTAGGATAGGAGAGAGAAAGGAGAGCTTTCAAGAAAATAAATGATTGCATAAATTGTGGCACATCCATCCCATAGGGTATGATGCAATTACTAGAAAGAAAAATGTGGATGGATTTTTAGTCTGTTTTGTAAAGTGAAGAAAGCAAAATGGAGATATATATATATGTTATTATATTAATACCATTTCTGTAATACAATGAAAAAGTCTATATTTGCAAATAAACATGAGTCTGTATGTGCACATGTATGTCTATATGTGCATATGTATATATATTTCTTGTGTACATATACATTGTATATGTACACATATATTCTAATATATACATATGTGTGTGTGATTGAATGCATATTTGAAGAGAAATATAGAAGGATGCATAGAGGTTGCTGACAGTTGTTATCTTGGGATAGGAAGTTGGAAGAGTAGGACAGGGATGGTAGGGTGGAGGCAGGAAGGAGGAAAAGCAAAATATAAATTTCCATGATAAAAATTATTATATATGATATATACTTAAATTACATATTTATATGTAATATATAAATAGATTCATGAAAGGATGTTCACCAAAGCATTGATTATTATCTCAGGAATAATCTAATTTTAGGTGATTTTCAAAACTTTTTTTCTTATATTTTAATATATCAGGTAAGTTCTTTACACAAGGTATATTAGGTTTGTAATTTTTAAAAATGGTAATTTTAGTTGTAAAAATTATAAATATGAGCTATATTTTAATTCATTTGCAATTAATTGAATGCCATTAAATTTTGGATTATACCTTGATTTTTCTGATTATCAGGGACAATTTTTAAAATTTTTGGATTATATAGCTAATGTTTTATTGTTCTTTACATATTATATAATAAGATGTTTTATGATGAAAAATTAAAAATAAAATTTTCTGTTTACCTTCTATTTGGGTTGCTCTGTCAACTTACTGACAGCATTCTGATATTGATGTTCTGTTTAGTCACTTTCCAGCTTCTATAATGTAGTAAATATTTCCATAATGCAGACTTCTTATAAATCTTTGCCTTAATAATTGCATATGTTAAAGAATCAAAGAAAAAATTAACCAAATTAATTATTTTCTCCCAAACTTAAAACCAATAAAATAATTCTACCTATCTGAAGTACACTGCCACTATTAGTTAATCAACTTGTACTTTACAGTATATTTTAATATGACAACTCTTGTTAATTCACAGAGAAAATATGATAAACAAATATTTTCAAGTTTTGAAATCTCTAATCAGGGTACAGGACTCTATTGTGTCTCAAAGACACTGTCTTCGGGAATAGAAGTGCACATGAAAATATGATTGATAATTTTTCTGTCGTGTTCTAATTATCTACTTTTACGTGCTGTATAGTCTTTAGCCCTAAAGTGCAAATGCTATCACTAGGGTCATGATTCTGATTGGTAAATACATCATTTTATCTGTTTCCTTTAAATTTTGCTCCATGATCATGCCACTGGCAATCGTATGTTTCAAAATACAGCATCTATTCTAGTTGCATAATGTTATTTAAAGGGTTAAAGTGATAGTTTCTGTATTTGGGGAGATAGAAAGAATTACTATTATGATATGAAATCTGACCCATGCTAGATGTTAATGTCTGTGCTATCATTACTAGCACTAGAGTACAAAACACTGCAATATAAAAATGATTTAAAGTAATCAACTAAGTGAAGGGGGCTGCAGTGCTGATGCTGTGCCATTCCATCTTAAAATTGGATACCTCTACATGAACACGGTGATCAGTTTACTGGGCTGTTTCACTCCCACAGTGACCAAAGCTCAACCACTGGGGAAACAAATGCTTTCAATTATCCAAGAATTCACTGGAGACCCTGCGGAGCAGACAACAATTAAGAAGCAGATAAATCTAAGGAATAGAATAAAGAACACTAGGCATTAAGGATAAAAATGACAAGGTGTTGGCAAATGCTAAGCACTAAAAACCTCTCCATTTTATCTCAGCTTGGTTATCTATTCTCACTTAAAATGAGATCTGCTAATTCCTACTTAAAGACTTTGAAGTCATCAACTACTGCTGCTAAGTATTCACTACTTTTATTGATTCTGTTATGCCAGAGAAGTCTGAATTAAATTCTTTAAACTAATGGAAAACCCTATGAATACCCCAGCAATGATGTAGGTTAGCATAGTTATTTTGTTTATGCATGCTGAAACTGTGATACAATAATATTTTTTTTTCTGGATATGAAAAGGAGTTACTCATATCTTACAATCCTTTTAGAGATATATTTGTCACTCTTGCATATTATTTTTCAGTTTTTCTATATGTTGGTGCAACTACAATCATTGTAACAATTGTTATTTTAAAATGTTCTGCTGTTAGTATTTTGAATTTCTGTAGAGTTCCTTTAGGATTGGGATTAGTTACACCTGCTGAACATGAATGGAATCCTAAAGAGAGAAACTTAAGAGTGCGGACTGGCAGCTATTAATAGAAACAGTAGCAGAGAAATCCTTCACTGCACACCTGACCACAGCTCCTTATTCAATTATATTCTCAGAACTCTTCATTTACATGAATGAGGTCCTTTTTTTGGCTAATGAAATGGTTTAGGAAACTATTTTTTTCCTAAGAAACAGTAAAATACTATGTGATGAATATTCACATATTCACCCTGAGTACCTTCTCTGCTTATTCTCTCTTCTCCAACTAATGCTAAGAAGCAAAGATCAATGAGATGATAAAGTGAAATTAAATAGAAACCATACAATAAGGATTCATTAAGATATATGAATATAATTTGTATGTGCTAAGTTTAGAGAGCTCTAATTCTAGAGGAAGCTTAGAGAGATAGTGGAAGAACATGTGTATGTGTGTGTGTGTAACTATTGTTTTTACTATGTTTATCCATTACTTCTGAATGCAAATCTAATGTCCACTATTAGATACTGCTTGTACTGAGACCTTAAGAATGACTTCTGGCCTGTAATCCTAGCACTCTGGGAGGCCAAGGCTGGAGGATTGCTTGAGCTCAGGAATTCGAGACCAGCCTGAGCAAGAGCAAGACCCTGTACCTACTAAAAATAGAAAAATTAGCTGGGCTTGTTGGTGTGTACCTGTAGTACCAGCTTCTGGGGAGGCTGAGGCAGGATAGCTTAAGCCCAGGAGTTTGAGGTTGCTGTGAGCTACATTGATGTCACTGCACTCTACCCACAGAGAGACTCTGTCTCAAAACAAAACAAAACAACAACAACAACAAAAAGAATGACTTCTGACCACATATGGAAAATTGACTACATGTCGGTATCAATAA